CATAGTGGACCGGCTTCACGTATTCAGGCAGGCGAAAGTTACTCCAGTCCCCACTGGAGTCAGTGGAAGGCGTGCAGGGGCCTCTGTCGGGCGCAGGGGGCTGTGTAGGCTCTGGTGGTGTTGGGTTTGGAGGGGGGGATGTGTCTGACCCGGACAGACCCACCCCGAGGCCCACAGCCAAAGAGCACACCACCAGCATCACACAGATGATGCCAACATGCTTAGTGCGAATGCAGTAACGCTTCTCTTGGTTCTCCAGGTCCATGCTATCCACCATGGTGACTCCAAACTGTGAAAAACCTCTCCAGACTAAAACACGACTTCCACCCTCAGCTGACCAGGAGTCGGAGCAGCAGGATTTGGCTCCAGCAGTTTTGAGATTAGCAGTGCGAGCTGATCAAAAGCTTGCCTCTGAGCTGTTTAGGGGTGGAGAGAATAAAGAGGAGGAGAGGTGAGGAGAGGGAAACTGTCAGCCAGCAGAGAGACTTTGACAGATCAAGTGAGGGATTTATTCTGTCCTTGGTGCTGCTAACACGCCTCCTCTTGTTAAACATCTACAATCTGCCTGTAAATCAACAGCTAAAGTTCAACATTATGAGCTACAGAATAATTAAATGTTGTTCTCCGTCTACATGCATGTACAACTACTAGCTTTAAAAATCAGTGAACCCTGTGGCAGTGATTTCAATTCACAGAGGGAAAAGTCTATTGTTTGGAAATGACTGCAGCTGCATTTGCTCTTTGGTCAACATAAAAGTGATGCAACTGAGTGACATGGGTGAAAAAAGCTTGTATTATGTTGTGTAACAATCAGTAAGATCAGCAGATTTGTATGTATCAGCAACAATTGAAAATGGAGATAAACATGCTGCTGATGATATTTCATTCACACATTGGGAAGCTGATATTTTAGTGAAGAAATTTGGAATCCCAATTAAATAATCCCAAATGACTTTGTTGACTTCCAGAACTTTCGTCTCGGCCATAAGAACCTGGCTAAATTCCTATTTTCCCCCCAATTTCTCAGATTGTACTTTACGCTAGCCAAAAACTTAAAGCAACAGTATGTAGGAATTTCAGGTTGGTGCCGACCGACGGTTTCGGAGTGCAACTACACTTGTCCTAAAACACATGGTTGTTATGGCTGCCGGTCACCGACAACGTGCATTTGTTGACAAGCAGATGGCTCTTTATACCTCCTCTCTAGAGATAGGACAGTGGCCAGAGTCAGAAATCGGGGATGACATGCAGGAAAGGAGCCACAGAACCTGAGCCGCCTGCCTGGTTGACCAGAGCCTCCGTACAGGGGGCGCGCACACCAACCACTAGGCTACCAGCGGCCACCTACATTTTTAAGTCCCAACTCTGTACATTAAGATCTACACATTTGAAAAGATGTTTTTTTTCGCCCAACTCTTGCCACCAGGGGGCGATACGAGGGGAAGCTAATAGGCTAAAGATGGTTTCAGCTGACTAGCTTTTGCAACTTGCCTGACCCTGAGTCACTTCCTCATCTTTATTGTCTTTGCTAGTTTCACAGAGATAAGAAGTTCATAAACATTATTGCTCCAGTTCCTTGATCTGTACTGAATAACTGCACGAGATACAAACTAGTCTTATATATTCGGTTTCATACAATTCTGTCCTAAGAAAAAAAAAGGAAGAACACAAGGCAAAGGTGTTTTATAGAATCAGCATAGAAGATTTATATGTCGCCGTTATCTTGTGTTATTAAGTGATGTGATTTATCCAGAGAAAAGGGGGAAATGTATGCTCTTCATCCATGTGTGTGCACACAAACTTCAGTCCATCAATCTAATACCACAACTTGCAGGATTGGTGTCTCGGACAACCCTAAGGTCCAAAGAAACTCAATCAACTTCCAGAAAATTAAATTTCTTTGAATTTCCTTGTAGAAACTTCTAAAAGAATAAAAGAATAAATCAATGTATTTAAACATTGCTAATAAGAATTTTGTTTAATGTCATATATGATATTTGTAAGTTTATAAGTATAGATTTGTGTTATAAATAAATACTCAAGTAAAGCCACAGGGTTACTCAGGTGATCTTTGATTAGTACAGTAATTATGTTTTTGTTGTGACTTCCCTTAGTACTTATAAAGTGCAGTGACAGTTACACATTAAATAAATGTTGTATCTAATGATGCCACCTACTGGCTGTGTAGATATGTAAACAAAGTAGATGATCATTCCAGGCTTTTCTGTTGCCCATGCTGTCAAACACAATGCGAGAGAGAGAAAGAGAGAGAGAGAGAGCGAGAGAGAGAGAGAGAGAGAGACATAGAGAGAGAGGGAGAAAGAAAGAACATGAGGCACACTGGCCTGGTTTCTCTTCCTGGCTGAATTAAAGGGGGAAGCAGAAAGTTATGCAGGAATCTCAAATTTAAATTTCAAGAGGACTTGAAAACTCCTTGGCCCATAATGAAAAGCACTTTGAGAAGACTCTCAGAGAGCTTCTTACTTAGCTTAAAAATGTCTAGCTGTCAATGGAGTGATTTAAAAACATTCTCAGAGGAACTGTAAGTGAGGACAGGACAAATGTTTGACTGGTTGATCCAAAAAAAGAGAAAAAATAATCATGTCATGAGAGCTGTTTCCCCCCGCCCCCTCCTCTCTAGAGTCGATGCTCACGCAGGTTGCCATGACACTGAAGCTTCAGTGTTAATCCAGCTCTGCATCGGTCTGTAAACCTTTCTGTGTTCTAACCTCTCTCCATTTTTCAAAAGCATCTCCAATATTGATCCTAGTTTGAGCACGTTTCTGCTCGTGGAGCTTATTAGAAACATGCAGAGGCTTTTTAGGTCGGTACAATCACTTCTATCTGAACCACTTCTCTTGCCCGCTTCCATCACTGCAACACCTGTTGACCTGATAACTGCTCTCATATCTGGTAAACCGAGGGGCATCCAAAACGGCCGTGTGGGGGTGCCTTAAAACCGCCTACCTTCTCTGGTCCAAACAAATCCAGATCATTCAGGACCAGAATCTAAAGTTAGAAGGAGGACATACTGGCTGCTGCATTGTTGTCAGAGAAGCCAGCACTTCAACATAGCATGTTTCCTTCATGTCTGATCATAGAGTGAGGTACTTTTATCATTTCACTTAGTAGATATCTTACAGATTGCTCCTTAAATAAATAAAATGTAAGCCATACTTGAGACAGTCTTAGTCCTCCTCACTACTAAGCTCTCTTACGCTGCTCTGTGAATAGCTTTTATAGGACTATTTACAAGGATCTAGTCTTAACTATGAGGTGAAATCATTATGAAATATCACTATTCTCAGAATTTTCTAAGAATTGTGTCACTAGGAGCAACTCTCTGTACTTAGGAAGCTTTGTGAATACGGCCCCAAAGTTTTACATTTCATTTACAAGGCTAAGCTATAAATCTTTTTCTTACCTCTCTGTTGTCCAAAAATAAAAACTCATCTCTGACTTGTATTTGTGGAGAAGAGCAGGTTTCTCTGTGCAAAGTTTGTCTGACACAACTTACATGGAAATCAAACGGTAATCATATTTCCATTCCTCCCTCTGAGTCAGGTGGTAGTGATTATGAAAACGTTGATGTCATGGTGAAATATGGAACCCCTTGCGTCTGACTAATGTGGGAGGATATATTCTCCCACATTAGTCAAATTCTCTGTTTCAAGTATTTATTCGCTCAACATCATAGGATAACGCCAGGATTTTAAGCCCTATTTATGAATGTTTCGGGGTCCAAAGGTTTTGTATTTCCTCCAGTTGATTGCATAAGCCAGCTGTCGTAAATCAGCTGTAACTGCTGCAAAGTAATCCATTAGAGGAAATGACCCCGCACAAAGTCCAACCGTTAAAAGTTGTTGTTTTTGTCACTGACAGGCTCAGATTGTTATCCTAAATGTCTGATACATTACAGAGAATGACCTTTTAGTCAAAGAAGAAGAGGACTTTATATTTCCAGGAAACCTTTTCAAGATCGCTGGAAATTTGAAAAATCCCTAGGAACTTTCGTAAGTTCAAAGATACCTTTGTAAGATGAAGAGAAACCTTTTGTGAGATCCAGATATACTTTTTTTAAGTTTAAGATACATTTGTCAAATCCAGAGACACTATTGTAAGACCCAAAAAAATAAATTAGAGCGCGACTGATTAATCAACCAATCAATAACATCGGCCGATATTAGCATATCCGGTGACTATAGGTATCTGCAAATTTTATCACAGATATGGGCTGATATTACAAGATTTATTTACCAGATAAATAGCTTTTTATTTGAGTATTATACTAGCAGTTCTCTTTCTGGCTGTCACCAGCAGAGGTCGTTATATGGACTACAACAAGCAATATCACTCTCCAGAGTCTCGAGCGTTGAGGCACGTACATGAGCAGTTACTATAAAGTTTAGTGACCATCTAGTTTATATCTATAGCTATCTCTACCGATTGAACATAGATCTAAGAAAGATCAGTATCTGATATTCTTTTCTCCCCAATCGATAATGGTGTTGGCTCCAAAAATCCCATATCGATCACACCATATTATTAAAGATCCAGAGAAACCCTTCCCATTAAACTTTTGCAAGATCCCTTGAAACTTTTGTAAGATCTGAGGAACATTGTCAAAACCCAGGGGAAAAAAATTGTCAGATCCAGAGGAACTTTTGGCGAGATCCCCTGATATTCCCATCCCAATGTCCGACTTTACCAAAGCGTACCACTTTGCCTTTGGCCTAGTGATTGAATTCACTTGAATAAAAACTTTTGTCAAGAAACGCAAAAGTATCTCAGGATCTTGCAGAAGTTCTTTGAGATCATTGTAAACTCATCGTCCCTCGGGGGCTTCGAGAAGGGGTGACACTGGGGAAGCATCTCACTGCAGACACTAGGGCGTTGTTTTTCTGTCGTCTGGATCTGAACCACAGGAATCTAAAGGTTTTAAGACATCTATTCAGAACACCACAGATCACATCACAGACGCTACAACCAAATTGGTATGTCAGAAATTTATTTTTATAAACAAGTTTAATTCACAGAATAGCTCATCAACACACACTGCATTGTTTTCATGCAGAATGTCTGGAACTCTAAATAGTCTTACTTCCTTTACTCTTCCATGCTGAACCCAACGAATGCAGCCGGAGAAATTTCTCTGGGCTCTGAAATAGACTTAATGAATGTCTCTGTCTATTTATTTTCATCTGTTATGTTGATTTTCAGACTTTTTTCTTTGAGGAACTCTTTGAACACCAGATTAGCAGCAGTCTGGATCTTGTTTGAAAGTGTGACGTTCTGGAGTATCTGGTTCTCCTTCTCTGGGGGCCTGCTGGTCGTAGACACGGTCTGGTTCGGCCTCTTGTATTTTCTTGATAATTTGAGCGGAGTCTTTAGGTACTTCCTCTTCAGGAGACGGGACAGTCGGGTGACTCCGACCACCTTCAGTTTGATGGGGGCTTCGGACAATCCCGCCATGTTCCGCGCCTGGCAGCGATATTCACCCGCGTCCTTGTATGATAATCCGTTCAGGATGATGATCGACCAGCGGACCCCGACCCGAGGAGATTCCTGCATAACTTGAAGATAAAAAGGTGCAATATCTTAGCTCTTAGCGCAAGGGCAGGTGAGGGCAATAGAAATAGCAATTTTTTGGGAGGCAATAAAAGAGCAGCCATGAAGGAGGAATATTCTCAGTGGTGATATTAAAATTATGTTTTTTACTTTGAGGTGTTTTGCACGTTTAACCAAATTATTTCAAAATATATAAAGTAGCACCACTTACAGCTCTCGAGATTCCTGGGTAGCTGGTCAGAGTTCTCAAATAGCTTTTTTCTGCAACAATCTGCAGAGAAAGCCAGATAAAAACATGAATGAACTGATGCTCATATATTCTTAACATTACCTCATCACCTGAGAGAGACCCTGGATCACTCACCTGTGTAGGTGGAGGTTTTGATCCAGGTCAGGGTGGGTGTCGGGTACCCAGTGGCTTCACAGCGCAGGATGACGTTGCTGCCCAGCGGAGAGATGACTCTGGTGGCTGCAGGCTGAACTGATGGTCTCATACAGCGGGACAGCTCCGCCTGACCCAGCAGCGTCCCCGACTGATCCACAGACCGGCTGCAGACCAAGAGCTGGTCCATCAGGACCAAGGGACTCCCCAGAGACATGGACAGGGACATCACCATGGAGATCTGGCAGTCACACAACCAAGGGTTGTCATGGAGACCTGTGTGCCCAGGACAATTTGAGTGGGTTACATCATTGTCTTGATTGATGGAAGGTCTGCAAAATCTGTTTAGCTGAATGAATCTAAGCCATATTTTTTCTTCTACACAAAGTGAACTGGTGAAGAAACTCAGCAGAGTGAGGCTGCGGCTACTCAAGTGCAAGGCATCCTGTTACGTGACATCATAGCTCCACAAGCAGGCAGGTTGAGCTTTCAGGGTTACAGAAGAGGATAAAGCTATTAGCGCTGACTTTTTCTCAGAATTCTCTCTCTGAAGTCGAAGTCTGAAAGAAAAGTCTGAATCAAAAAATACATTTTCAGTGGCCCTCATCCTCTTCCGTATTATTAGAAGCACTGAGTAATTTATTGGTTCAATTTACTTTTTAATCTACAGTGGAGCCACAGTTAAGAGAATACAGTGGTGATATAACAAAAATGAACTTTATGGGGGGAAAAATAAAAAATGCGGGCTAAGGTCAACATATTTGTTCTTTTGAAGGGTAATATCAGAAGAGCATGCAGCAGCCTGCACTAAAATGAAACCTTTACTTAAGTGTCACCTCACAAGATGCTCCACATTCCTCATTTTAGCCCAGGCAGCTTCCTGCTCTTATGCCTTATCCTTTAAAATAGCATATAGGCTAACCATAGCCAAAAATGTATGCTATTTCTCATGATATTATGACTTCATTCTTAGATTGTTTTATTTAATGTACCTAATTTTCCAGCATATGAATGCCAGTTGTGACACAACCCGTAAAGTTACCTAGGTCACCTTTTGTTTCTACCCATTTATTTAGTATTATTGTCTGTTCCTGTTTTGTCTCTGTGTCTCAGATCCCACTCCTCATGTTTTCCTGCCTTGAGCCTCCCTACCCTGATTGTGTTCACCTGTGTCTCGTTACCTCCTGATTGTCTGTGTATATAATCTGTGTTTCCTGCCTCATGATGCCAGTTCGTAGTGTGTGGCTTGTGTTGCCTAGTTCCAGCTTTTTTTCTTGAAGTGTTTTTTGACCTTACCTTCTCCTTTTTGTCTTTTGCCTGCCGTTTCTTGGATTTGTTTGCTACTCCATATGCCAACCTGGACTTGTTATTAAACTCTGCTTTTACTCAACTTGTGTGAGCCTAAATTTTGGGTCCTTTTATCTGTCTGATTCTGTTAAGTTGCATGTCCATACAAAACATGGCGAACATGCCTGTCAGCTACTTAGACCAACCACCATGAATGGTATCAAGTTAAAACCAAGAGTCCAGTTGATAACAAAATGTATGTAGCCCATAGCTGGGAGATACTCACATTTTGTTGAAGCTGCTTTTGATAGCAATAGAATTTGTATATTGTTTCCCCTTATAATCAGACTGTACCTAAGATCCTTCTTTGAACTGGTCCTCCCTGTTGTCCTGGAGGAGGAAGCCAAAGGTCGAGCAGCTCAGCAGGTAACACGGTCAGCCTGAGGGGAGAAGAGAGAGAAGTCTTTTAAATAACCGTACAGCTGTATCTCTCCTGACATCAGCAGGTTGTTTCTGGTCACACCTGTTGCTGGAAAGGTCAAGGAAGGTGATGTTTGAGAGAAACAAAGAAGCTTGAGCAGGGAGGCTGGACAGACGGTTGTTATGGAGACCCAGAGTCTGGAGGCGGGGCATATCCCTTAGCCCCTCCCACGGGAATGATGTGAGAAGGTTCCCGTCCAGGCGCAGCTCTCGCAGGGCCTTCAGGTTGACGAAGCTGCTGGGGTGGATGGAAGTGATAGAGTTGTAGTTCAGCCACAGGAAGCGCAGGTCTGACAGGTTGTAGAAGGCTGCCCGGGGCACCCTGGAGATCAGGGTCTTCTCCAGACGCAGTTTGCCCGTGTCAGCGGGGACGTTTATGGGAACAGCTGAGATCCCAGGGTCGTTACACCGCACCAACCTGCCGTGTTAAACACAGAGCTGAGAGGTCAGCTTTATGAAAGATGACAAAAATGATGCACAAAGGACCAGAGAAAAAACTATTTTGAATTTAAGTCCCAATGAAATGGAGTGAGTATCTAACTGTCCTGTTGTATTTCCAACTACAACGGGAAAAAAAACAATCACAAGAAAGAAGGCGGGAACCAAAAGTTTGGGTAACCACACCCGTTTTCACATATGCACTCCTGAAAATGTCTAGATAAATTCAGGAGGACTGCTCCTGAAAGGAGGTCGCAAAGGTCATCTGCATACAGTCTATGGTCATCCACCAATCAAAGGGAATAAAGGCCCCACCCCCTCCCACTTGGTGAAAGTCAGGTAAAAGTCCCAGTGAAACATTTTACATTTTGCGTTCACACATGCAGCTCACCCCAAAAACTTCAGGAGTTTTGTTCAAGTGTGAAAGCACTAATATGGAGCCTGATCTTGTCTAGCATCTTGTTTTGTGAAAAGTGGGTTTACAATGAAAACGTATCAAAAGTGCTAGAAGTTAAATTTAAGTATATGTCATAGTGTGGTTTCATCTTAAAATGCAATCATTTTCTTTTTCATTTCATTCATTTTTTTCTGATAATGTTGCATTTTATACGCCATTTCCAAAAGTCAAACCAATACACAATAGTTAAAGGAGCAATATGCAACTCTGACACCTAGTGTTTAAAATGGGTACTGCAGTCTACATTCAAAACATTGTAGAGAGCTGTCTCCCCCCGCCCCCTCCTCTCTAGAGTCCATGCTCACGCAGGTTGTCATGTGGTGGACACTGAAGCTTCAGTGTTTATCCAGCTCTGCATCGGTCTGTAAACCTTTCTGTGTTCTAACCTCTCTCCATTTTTCAAAAGCATCTCCAATATTGATCCTAGTTTGAGCACGTTTCTGCTCGTGGAGCTTATTAGAACAGTTTGCCTAAAGCATGTTTCCTAAATGTCTGAAGATATAGTAATGTCATTTTATGATTTAACTCAGTAGATATTTTACAGATTGGTCCTTTAAGTGTGTTTTTTATTTAACTATTAAGTTAGGATCTCTAATCAAGAATGATTTACTCTTTTAAATCAACTTATTCTTAAAAGGTCTTTTGCCAATTAAAAAAATGGAGTCTCCCTCCATCCTCCATGAATATTGTGTTTGTAATTTTATGTTTCGACTTTTCGTCTTAAATTAACTTTATTTATGACATTTGTGTAAAAACACTGTCACGCTGCCGCACAACATGACATTAATACGTACATAATCAAATATTTCACATGATCACATCAGCATATATGACATATGTTACACCAGCACTTCCCTGTTGGTTCTCCAAGAGCTTCACAAATCTATTCATTAAATCTAATTGTCTATAATTAGCTTTATATGTTGAAATCAGTGGCACACACACACACAGATGAGATTGAAGTCTGCCTCACTGCACCTGAGCTCTGCGTTCCCTCCGGTCCCATACGAGCAGGAACACACAGCCGGACAGGAGTGGACCCCCAACAGAGCGGACTGCAGGACCTGGACCAGGACCAGCAGATACATCCTTCATCAGACAAACCCCCAACCCAGAGAGACCCTCAGTGTTTCCATATTCCCTCTGAGATCCGGTCGGAGGTTGTGTCCACAGAGCAGAGTGAAACTGAATCCCAGATTAGCTGGGATTACGGCGCTTACAAGCGGCGTGTAATCCTGCGCCTCACTGTCAGGGTAACAAATCACAACATCAGGGCCAGCACACGGCTTTTTGGGTGTCAAGGACGGTTTGACACAACACATCACCCTGTGGAGAATTAAATACTGACCTGCAAGCACCTGACAAACTGTCCAAGACATCAGTGTCGGATTTGTTTACTCTTGTCACAGTGTTCATTATGAATGAAGGCAATTTACTCTAGAGGAAACATTAGAAATCAAAACTTTGTAACAATATGAGCAGCACAACATTTAAAAAAAACAATTGATGACTTGTAGAATTCCTTTATTGATAATATGATTTATTGGCTACAACGGGTTATCAGCAAAAAGTACCACAAGAAATAGACGGTACATGTTCACTTCTTGTGATTTTCTGTTACTGACTATTTGGACGAGATCAACACATTTTTTGTGAACTTTCATCTCGTCATGATTTGTTCCTTAATGTTGTATGTTTACTTTCTTCCCTGTACCAAAATCAACACACGGAGGTCACAGAGGAAGGGTGTAGGACTGCCGACAAACTGACACAGAAGGTCAGAAACACAGAGGCCCTTTGCGAAAAGCCACAGTTCAGGATGAAGTGCAGACCTCTCAGTAGGGGGTTTCAGTAGACTGAACCCTCGTGGTCATTCAGTTGGCATTTTTTGGGTCCACCTCAGTAGACTGAACATTTCAGCACGGATACTAACTTACAGATTGTTGTTTTTCTGGCCTCTAGGAGCATGACATCATAAACATATCATAAAGAAATCAAAAGAGCAATCCTCACTTGGAAACATTAAAATATTGCATTCAAGAAGATCACAACATATCACTAAAGACTTTATAATGAAACAGCAAGTCATAACTGTATATCCAGTATGAAAAAGTTGAGAGATCCATTTAAATAAATGACATCATACCAATACATTTGTTTCAATTTATTTCAGATTAACAGGAGTTATATGTGGCCATAAGGAAGGACCCCCCGCAGGGAGTTAATCCAGCTCAGAGACAGATTTTGTTTGTTTGTCCGTTTGTTGGTTAGTGGGGCGTTAGAGATTTTCTTCAAGTCCGGGAGAAGAGCATGTTGGCTCGAAACGTCAATTGTTAATAAATCCTTTAACTGGAGCTCCTTGGGCTTTTTTTTTTGCTTCTTTATACCTATATTTGTTTATGGATCCAACCCCTGCATAGGGATGTGCTTGTCTTTTTGGATCTTTCATTTTGCATCTGCTTGGATCCCTCAACATGAAGAAAGAAAGGATTACTTTTTTTATTGAACATTTAACCCAGTGGTTCCCAGTGACCCCACTTTGACTTCACAAAGCTCTAGAGACTCCAGACATCCAAAACATGTTCAGCTTTTAGCTGAAATGTATTTGTTTTCAATCATGTAAGAGCTGTTCTACTGTGTTGAAAGTAATTTTCAATTGATCAATAAATTGACTCCATAACACAACAGGCGACTCCATTTGAATTCTATGTGACCACATGGGGTCGAGACTCAAATCATGATCCTTCTTCCAGGCAGTGATGATTTGGGTAAAAACACTTTAACATGTACTTTAACATGAGACACGATCAGTGCTCTTCTGAAAGAACTTGGTGACAGAAAGCCCTGAAGTTAAACGTTTGAGGAAGCCACAGACGAAAACAAATGAAGCCATTTATCAAAGTCTGTCCTCTGTCTTACAGGTCAGACCAGACAAACTGCCACAGATGTCATCTACACCTGTTTACATATGCTAATGAAATACCTGTGTGAACAAAGAATGCAAGAAAAGTTTTTACACCTAAGATGCAAACTGCAATGCAAAATGTTTCAACATAGTGACAGAAATAGTCCTATATTGGATACGTGTCTGAAATAAAGAAGTAAAGCACAAACAAACAGTACCTTGTATCTGAAAAAGGGTACAGGATGCATGCCACTCTTTACTTACTTTTCCTCCCGGAAAAGCACATACCCTCGGGAGTAGAGTTTTAAACAAACATTGCTTCCTGGTACTTTGCAAGGTCTGTTTCCACCTTATTCCCAAACTTCTTCACAATCTATTCGACATGTAAACGTTTTATTGAACTAAGTGTATAGAATGATTACTCTATGAAATATATATGACTGATTTTTCAGAAATTACAACTTTAAAAAAACATTATTTATACAGTCTAAAAAAAGAAGTAAGACTGCTGTAATTCCACTATGAGCCTGTAGGTGATCGATGCTGCTCTGCCATTGGATGATGTCGCTGATGTGTCGTGAACGCGCGGCGCGCCTCCAGGGCGGACCTTGATACCGAGCTATCACAATCTGAACTCTCATGTCTTGATTCTTGAAAGTTACTGTCAGCGGACTGCAGCTGACTGCAAAGAAAAAATGTCCGCAGCGAAGCAGCACTCAAACGAACAGTGTGTTTACCGTCGACGGGACTTTGAAGAGCAGCCGGTGGAGGAGCAGCGAAGATGGCACACTCCTCAACCTGTCCACGGAGCAGGACTACACCAGCAGCAGCAGACACACCGGGTAAAGCGAAAGTACCCTAACATGCTAGCTGACAGCTGGTTTATTATTACATGTAAATGCTGATCATCGGGCACTGATAGCTGATTGTCATGGCAACACCGTCTTGGAGCTAACGATAAGCTCAGAAAGCTGCTCGTCAGTTTAACACGACGTCACCTGCGTAACCATTCGCGCTTTAGCCAAACCCCATTGAAAAATCTATCACTTTAAGATCATTTTAAAAAAGGCAAGCTATATATTTCCGCTAGAACTTCCTTTCTATGTATTCATAATTAACAAGTTCAAGTTAACAATTCGGCGTGTATAAGAGACTTTAAGCTTCATGTTTTTGTTCTGTTTTACACATTATTATTATTATAAACAAGCTCAAGTTAACAGACAGGTGAATATGAGACTATTTCATCTTCATGTTTTGTTTTTTATAAGCGTAAAACTTCTTCACTACTTCTGCAGTTTCATCTTCATCATGCCATATGTTCCTGTGTGTGTGTGTGTGTGTGTGTGTGTGTGTGTGTGTGTAATACAACTTTAAATGAGACGTTTATTTAAGGTAGTATGGCTGTGGTGGCCTTTTCACGATGGAGAAAACTGTGTCAAAGGTCTTAAAGGTGCACTATGGAGTTTTGGTAGAGACATATGAAAGTTGGAGAAGTGTACAGATCATGTGCTATATGTCTATAACTCTGTACTAAAACTGTCCTCAGAGGAAAATGTGGTCCCTGTAACACTGTTTGAAGATGCTGTGAGAGAAGTTATGTTGGGGGGCCACAACAGTGAAACTGTAACTCTCCTGGCAGCTTTTTAGCGCCAGAGTTCCAGGGATCCATTTTTTCTTTGAGTAAAGTTTAGTTTAGTTCAGAATAGAATTGTTTCACTTCAATAACTTGAAATGTCACTACCATATCTACATAGTGCACCTTTAAGTTGCTGAGCATGTCTCCTGAAGACACCCCTCACCCCACCTACAGTACACCTTTACATTGCAACCTGAGCAATTACCTCAGGCTAACAAGTAAAACAAGTTGAAACACATTTACTTTGACAGGATGGTTTGGTTTAAATATTTTGCCTCTGAAAATGTATTTAATCCTACTGGAATGAAAGTCACTAGTTTAAAAGTGGCATACATCTCAGTAGAGGGTCGTAGCCCGGTGGTTCAATGCTAAATGCTAAATGTTAAAGATTTGTTCCCCTATCGGATGAGGATTTCACAATAAGTCCGTCTCAGATTTCTGATTTAATCTCTTCAGCAGGTGTTTAAACTAACATTGGAAACATGATAGGGTGTGTCTCACTGGGCCCCTTTCATTCAGTAAGGAAGTGAATCACAATACAATAAATGGGATTGAGGCCAATAACATTTTGTGGTATCAGGAAAATGAAATAATAAACTATGCAGCTGTATTTAACAATGCCATTAACATTTCACTGAGGCTGCAAAAGGTTAAAAAGTGACTTCACCTAAGCACACCCATTTCACCCACCGTTTGAAAAATGCTAGAAAAACAGGAAATGCACAAACGTGGCTCATGGTGTAGGAGTAGATTAGAGGCTGTTAACTTTTTTTCTGTCAGTTAATGAGCCGGCTCTCCTCGCTCTACTACCAGGATGTAAACAAGCTCAGCGATTGGATTGCATCTCGTAGGAGCAGCACTGTCTGGCAGTGTCTAGAAAATGGAGATAAAGTTGTGTGTAGGCTGTTTATGGTGCCTATCGACGTGGGCGATGCTTAATCACATTCAGCATGGTCATGTGGATGTTGAGCTGTGAGGAGGATTGTAGGCTGTGGGTGCTAGCACTGCTATCGTTAGCCACACTCAGCAAACCAAAAATGTGTGTGTAACCTTACTTACACTTTCTCACCACAGGTTGATGGCAACCGGACCCGACCTGGACCCCATAATGACCCCATCTCCAGATGGCCACTTGTGGACGACCCGACCACCAGACAGCCTCAGCTGGACGACTGCGAGCGGATGGGGACTCTGTTCGGGATGCTCAACAAGTACCTGCGAGGACTCGGCTTCAGCCAGATGTACTTTGGGGACAAGATAGTGGAGCCTGTGGTGATCATCTTCTTCTGGCTGCTGCTCTGGTTCCTGGGGATCCATGCCCTGGGGCTGGTGGGAACTCTGTGCATCATCATCATCTACATTCAAAAGGAATGATGATCAGAGTGGAGGCTGCTGTTTTTTATGGTCCATGCTTGCACATGCTGATGGCTGTTTGGACAGGGATCCACAAAGGTTCTGTGCTTTTAGATGAAGAGGGTCTGCAGGACTCTGAAGTGATGGTGGTGCAGCAGGCTTCTGGGCATGTTTTGAAGCATGTTCAGACAGAATAAATCCAGAGCTGGGTCCTTGCTTCAGGGCTTTCTGGGCTGGATCTTTGCCGCAGAAACAAGAGTGATTCAGTCCTGCTGCCTGCGCTCGAGTGGCCCTGTGATTTTCCAGGATCAGGAAACACCGATGGAATAAAATAAATCTGCCCAAACATTTTAATGTAAAGTTTTTTGTTTTAAATTTATGTTCTGATAGTTTTGGATACCACGTGATCTTAAGTGAAAAATTACCCAATATTTTGTGCCTAGTACTTCTATTTTTGTTGCCGCGGTATCGAAAAGAGCGTCGATACCGTTTGATTTCTACTAGAATCATGTCAAAGTTAAAAAATCTGGTGTCAGGCCAACTCTATCTTTAATTATAAACGAGCAATATTGCTTTACATTGAATCCATTCCCTACATTTTTATTATTTAATGATTTGACTCTGCATAAAAAGACAAAAAGTGCTTCACATAATTTGGGATTAAATCAAAACCGAAGTAAAGGTCTTCTGAAGACTCATGTTGATGATGTCATGTTTTGGATGAGCCCTTTTCTGAGGAACAGAAAAGGGCATTGCAGGAAGTTGTTTCTTTCTGTTTGCATCAGGGCGTCAGAGTGAAAGTAGCACTCTCTCTCACACATGCTGACATGCAGAATGTGGAGGTGTTGTGTTAGTGCGGCGCTTATGTGACTCCAACGATCAGTCAGGAGAAGAGTCTGAATGTACAGCGGACACAGTACATGTTATGTGCATGTGAAACTTACTGCATTATGTAATATAATAGAGATGTTCTGATACCTTTTTTTCCAATACCAAGTCCCAAGTCCTGCTCGAATACAGCGAGAGACATTTAAAGAAAAGCTGTGAACTGGATGCTACGTAATGTCGACTGTTTCCAAAGCTATATGATGTGTCTTTATACGTGAACTCAACTGAAGCCAAACTACTCTGCAAGGGCCGCTGATGTGATGTACATTTGGAGTCAAAGTGCACAGTAGAGATTGACTGGTGGAGCCTCAATATCGACGTCCCCTTCCAAAATGCACATGAGCATGATTCACACCATTAATTGATATTCAGTAGGATGCTGCAAAGGATGGTGAAGGGATGACCCTTGCTACTCTGTCTCTAATTGGCTAGCACGCTCACTTACTAAATATGCAAGCGGAATCTGATGTCACCGTTACTAACAGAGGCTGTTTCTCTCCGCTGGATAGGACACAAAAAATAATTTGAGGAAAAAAAATAAGAGTATATCTACTTCTTCAGGCAACACCGCTCCTGTTCCTCCTCTACTCTGACAATCTGGCTCACACAGCGCCTCATTTGTCAACAGAGCTGTCAGTCAAGTCGTCATACCGCTCTTTATAACATAGTCACTAATTAAATCTAAACTGCTCAGTATGTTAAGAATCCATGTTTTAGAAAACATTGACATAGCTCTTGTGTCTTCTTAAGAGCCTTGGAGGAACACTGTTTTTTGACATGAAGCTGCTTTTTTTTCTGTTTTTATTAGAGCCCGACCGATTAATCGGCCATTCGATAATATCAGCCGATTTGAGCATATCAAGTCTTCATTTTACTGGAAGGAAAAGAAAGGGACAAATTGTGACAGTTTTATTCGAGACTTTGTGTTTCACAGTGGACTTCCTATCTTTCACCGAGTCTTCCAGTCTGTCTCTGCTGCAGAGTGACAGCAGTCACATGACCTGAGAGGATATCACCAGTCACACATTGAACCTTCACACACCTACACTGGAGTGGTTTTGGCTGAGTTAGATTTTTTTGTTTATCATTCATGTGTGAAGCTGTTTAGATGAAATAATCATATCATGTTTTAGGGGGTTAGGGTTGTTCTTCAGTGTGTGTTTTCATATATCCTGCACACTATGTTCTTCACCTGTCAGACTGTTTGATTGAGTGTAACAAACACAAAATGCCTCTTTGACACATCATCACATGTGACTGTCATCCAAGTACATATCCTCTAAGGGGTTAATAAAATCTCAAAGCCTCCCCGGTCTCTGCTGTTTTTATTCTGAAGATAATGACATTTCAAACACGGTGTGCGTTCGAATTGTCCCTCCTATCTCCTTTCACTATCCACTTTACCTTAACCCCGGGGAAAACGTCATGAGGTTAAGGAAAGATGTTAGGAGAATTCATAAAGGACTTAGGGAAAGGCGATCTCGTTGCTCTGACAATCCGACCACATTTTCCACTAGGAGACGTCATTCAATGTGACGGGCCGGCGGAGGTTAATGACGTGGTGAAACTACAATGTTCAGATAATGAACTACAAAAAGATCATCTAAAAAACTTTCCCCTGTGCCTCTTAGCAGTGAAATAATCCTAATTACTACAAGGTTGGGATTGAAATAAAAGAAATATAGAATACCAGGCTACAAGTAACAAAAGTGAAACCATCAGCTTCCTGTCCACTCAGAAATCAACATCAACATAAATATGATTGTATGAAATGAATTGTTACATTTATGTAAGATATAACCTACACATAATGTTTTAAACATACAAATGTACAACTGCACAGCATTCTGAATTGAATGAAATATGTTGAATAAAACATCATCTGATAAAAATGTCTCTTATCTTTTTATTCCTTGATCTGTGTCACTTTACGATCATCGTTGATGTTCGTGAACGGTCGGACGCGCAACTCGCTTTGAATGTTGCAGCCGCAAGGAATTGTGGGGCGGCATATCTCATCTCCTTTCGTAAAGGATGGTCCAGTGTATCCTATGCTAAAGGAGGTTATAAAGGAAGCATTGACCCACCTTTCCTTAACTTTTAGAGAATTCGAACGGCTCTTATCATGGCTGCCACTTAAATGCTTCCGGGGTTAAGGTAAAGTGGATAGTGAAAGGAGATAGGAGGGACAATTCGAACGCACCCATGGACACGCCTGCTTGTGCAGCCTCTTTCGTGTGAGCTGTTCATGTTTCCCGTTACCCGTGCATAGATCACTCACTTCATGTAAAAGTTGATGCCATGCAAACGTATGGCTACTTTGCAACCCCTGGCTCGGCTTTAGAGGATTAAAGCAGACGTTTTAGACTTGAAGAAATACAGGCCTAGTGATACTATAATGCAAATAAAGACGACTTGATAGTTGATGGGGAATCATTTCTCAGGCTGATGGAAGAGACTCAGTAGGTGCATGTTTAAGAGATTTATGGAGGTGACTCATAAATACTTGTCGTTGGAGCTCATGCAGACAGGACATACAGAAGATCGAACAATAAATACAAAGAACATGTAGAGTCCAGTCACACTGACATTATCCAGACACGTTCTCTGAAGTCTAAATACGGCTCACTGTTGTGAAACATTACGTTGAATCTCCCAGAACACAATAACAATCATATTTACAAGTATACATATCATTTACAGTCATGTACATTTATGGGAAATAATCAGCCTCAGCTAAAAAAAAAAAAGCCTCAGCTCAAAAAACCGTCTGAAGGCAAGCGGCTCAGTCCAGGACCAAACAGCATCACATCTGGTGCTTCAGGGAACTTCAGCACGTTGTTTTAGTCTGAACAGCACGGACAAGATTTACATGTGAAGGTATTTAAACCAAGAGTGTGTCTCCTAAGGTCTCAAAGATTTGATACTTGTCAATATCTTTGAAAAGGATCCAGTATTTGAATGTTTAATGATCAATAGTATCATAAAGGACAGGGCTTCAAAAAACGACATCTATTTTACAAAGTCGTCGTGTAGGTGAAGAAAGAATCCATCAAAACGTGCAAGAATAGTCCTGCACACAGTCTTAAAAGCACAAATATATTGGCAAAGTTTCTGCAATCTATGATCATTGATATCACAAAATTAACTAAATATTTGGTGCCTAAGACTTTGCTATTTATGTTGCCATGGCAACAAAACAGGTATTGATATCTCTTAATGTTTTACTGGTATCATATTGAAGTTTACATTTCTGGTAGGACTATAAAGTATATCTTCTTCTATCATTTTTGCTCAAAGCAAAAGTTTAAAAAAGTTTATTAAATATTAAAAACTTGGATGCTGCACGCAAGCTTTAAATTTAAGAAACTGAACTGCAAGTCTTTAAGCGTATAATGTTTCTTTTACTCTTGATGGTTAGAGAAACTCAGTCAGCAGCAGTTGTGTCTGTGCGGACTTGTTCTGGGAACTGGAGGGTGGCCAGTTCAAGTCCAGCTCCATCAGTCTGTTAGCAGACTGAAACCTGCCGCTCCTAAACCCACAGCTGCATAAAGAGCTGACTGTAAGACTTGAATAAGACTTAATGCCTTATTCAAGTCGATAAGTCTCTCAGGTGTGTGTTTGTGTGTGCGTAATAAAAAATAAGGAAGGTTTATAAGTTCCATTCCCCAAAGGAGGATGAGATGTGGCAGCCGTGTGTTTCACTTTGTGAGTCTCTTCTTCATAATCATCCAGCAGAACTTCACTTTTACTTCAGTATATTTACATATTTACAAGAACACATACATGCTCAAAGTAGAAAAGAAAAACCCTCCATACTCTGTCTAATGATGTCAATAAATATAAAAGGCAGACAGGGGAACATGAGAAAGAACATTTAGGATTTGTAGAAGATGTTTCACTGATTGCATCTGATTAATGTTTAGGATTTGAGACTGTTGGTCCCCTTCATAAGTCCTTTATAAACATTAGTTTTGACTCTATGGGTTACCTGTTGTTGGTGTTTGTCATTATTTTTATGGACAATAGGAGCACGGATAAAACTAATTGATGGATGCAATGATCGATGTAAAATTTAATAGAAGCAGGAGTTACTCGCATGGTAGCATGAAATGTTGTAAACAGTTATGTAAGCGGTGTGCGACTTGTTTTTTTAAGTGTTAAAGTGAGATTAAGTCACATGAGATGTGAACTGAGCTGCAGCAGTGTGCAGATCCTCTCCAACAACAACTGGTGTTGAGAGATAAAGACACATGTTTTCAGACTTCATGGCTCATTCAGGTTGAAAGAAAAATGGCTGAAAATTCTCTCAAACTTAACGAGACGTTTTGATCTCATTAACCATGAAACTCCCCCCCTCAGTAACACAGCAGGAGGTCCACTGACGGCTCAGTTACTTGTCGAGTTTTACTTAACATTCCCGGTCAGATCAGAGGAGCTCAGTGTCCGTTGCCGCCCTCGGACAGGATCCGGCTCGGCTCTGTGAACTTTGCCGTGGCGATGTAGAAGAGGGCGGGGCCGGGCACCAGAGCCAACAGCGGCAGGTCCTGCTCCAGCTTGTCCAGTCGAGAGATGGAGATGATGCCGTACGCGTGGAGCAGCCAGTGGCTGAACAGGACGACCAGACGCTTCTTCTTAGCGACCAGGTGTTTAAAGGACTGTGGGGGTTTGAAGACGAGCACAGAGACGTGAACAGGTTAGCTTCACATGAACACAAAAGAGATGCTCAGTCGTTCTGAAATTATTCTGAAACACATTTTGTGATGCCAGTAATGCAGAAACAATCTCATAAAAAAAAGGAAAGTCAGGGAATCGGGAGTCGTTATGATTAAAAGACTTAATCTGATACAAACAGTGAAGAGTGCAGCGAGGGTGCTCACCTGAATCTCAGAGGCCGACATGTACACAGCCAGAGTGACCAGAGACAGGACCAGAATGATGTATGGAAACGCGTAATCTGAAACACACACACACACACATGTCAGTGACAGCTGCTGCACAGGTCGACCTGCACAGTTTACCTTCTTTATCAGAGCTCTGAATGGCAGTTCTCTTTGACTTTTAAAAGCACGTACTGCACCTTGTGAATGAATCTAACTGTGAACTAACTTTCTTTTATTCTGACTGTGTGAATATTCATTTTTCAGAAATAGAGCGTTACTATACACCTGCCAAGAGAAGACAGAAGGTGGGTTAACATGCAGCATTTTTTTCTGCACAGTAAAGCGCTAGCTGGGCGCTCAGCAGCTCTTGAATGAAGCGTTTGTGTGTTGAGAATTAAAGCGCTGCAAGTCCTTCCTGTCTCTCTGGAATTTAAGGCTTATAAATGTACATCTTTTAGAAATGACATGTGGGTTGAGATCGATTATTCAGGTCTAAGGAGATCACATGAAACTAAGAGATTCACATGTTCACTGATTGATTTCTTAATTGAAAGATCCATTTTCAATCAACAGACCGTCTTTTCAAACTGTAACAACGTGATATATACTCGACTGGTTCTCTTTGATACTCACAGAGCAGACCTCCTCCCACCGCCTGCAGCACTGTGAGGATGGGGAAGAAGTACAGAGCAGCGTAGATGCTCTTGAAGCGATCCGATTTTCCCAAACCGCACGCGATCTTCTTCACCAGCAGAGGGCGCAGCAGCATCATCAGCACCAAGCAGAACGCGTAGTAGATCAAGACGATGGTGTAGCTGAAGAAGAGAGAGACAAGATGATTAACTGCACTGGCAGGGCTCCATTTTTCACAATGATCACTTTCATTATTCATCTTTAAATGTAGACCCCTCTCTGCACTCACAGTGGGTAGACGGCCTCCTGTGTGCAGTGTAACGTGTTGACGTAGTCGGGACTGGGGTTGTACAGCATCGTGTACCAGTCTGACAGCATATGGACTCGACAGGAACGAATACTGAGCATTCCCACCGGCTCCATGACCAGCAGGGTGACCACCGCCGACACGCTGCACTCCAACATGGCTATGATGTGCTGCAGCAGAGCGCTAGAGCTAGACGCCACAACAACAAACAGAATGCTGAATATTAAAGGCTGTGAAAGAACAAAAGACCACAGAGCAACATATGTAAAATGAAAAATGAGAGCCAACATAATCGTTGCCATGAAAAAAAAAGCAGCCTTTGCAATTAATTTGGAATTGACCGGTGAGTGTGTTTGCACACCTCTTCTTCCCGGAGTACCACTCGATGAAGAACCAGTGCAGCACGAGAGGCAGCATGGCCATGAAGCCCAGGTAGAGCCAGTCGTAGAGCTCAGGGGCCTCCATGCAGCGTTCACACACCTTCAGCCCGCTTGCACGCTCTCCTCGAGGACAAACCTGACAGGACAGAAACAAATGACCAGGATGAGAAAATACATCATCCATAATAATAATAATAATAAATTTTATTTATAAGCGGTTTCAAAAACTCAAAGACACTGTACAATAGTTAAAAAAAGAAAGAACAGCACAGTAAGGACAGACTAATAGACATTGCAACATTACACACAAATCATAAAGATAACAACAATAAATGTAAACTACAGATAATCTAAACTAAAATTAAATTCATACAATTTGAATGCATTTTACTGTGATAGCACTGATTACAATTACAGATGTTAATTCGTCTTGGCTTTCTATTTAGCATTTTTCAACATTCATCCAGATGCCTTTTTGTTGTTGTTGTTGCAAAGGATGAATAATGTCTGTAATGCAATTTCATCTGTTCATCACATGTTGAGATCCTACAGCTCAGTACTTACTCCACAGTCTCCCTCCACTGATCCGTTGACCATGATCCTCCCACAGTACAGGCCTGGACACCGTGAACTCATGGCCACAGCTGCAGTAACACACAAACACCTTATGATGCAACGAGCACTGGAACAACAGTCCACTTTCTTTACGGTACTTATACTGATACAAAACTAAACAAACCAACGTTGTCCAAGCAACCAATGTGCTTTAGTTTCTCACACGCTCTGATGCAGTAGTTTGCATTCTGATTTTTCTATTCTTTAGGGGGTGGGGAGAACTAATATATAACGTTATGGGATGTAATTTTAAGCACTTGTCCTCCATCTTTTTAAACACTCTTGTTTTAGAAGAACTTAAATGGTTGCAGTAATGTTGACCTGTCAGGATCCATGTGTTGACAGAAAAAAACATTAAAGTCATCACAAGGTTTATTGCTCGGTCAGTAAGAAGATGTGCTCTATTTCATTTTGCACTGGATCGCAATTGAAGGCTTTCTGGTGTTACGACATAAAGAGAGACCGTGTTATTTAGCGACTTCCTGGTCGTTTGGGTCCGTGATTGTCGTAAACTTAACAGTCCTCGCAAATGCCCATTTGTTTAGTTTTTCATTATTATTTCAGATTATTATCATCAAGGTCTGCAAGTGATGAAGCCACGACAACCACACAGCTGCTTTCGACAGGAAGTCTTCAGGTAACACGGTCACCGGGTACACCGATACACCGACAGAAGCGTAACGTTTCGATAGTTGTAGTGAAAGAAAGACAAAAAAGTACCTACTCACTGAAAAACATACATGTAATGTTTTCTATTTAAATCTATATGACAGTAGAAGTTGTTTATTTGAACTAAGGAGACGTCACTGTTAGCTAACATCACGTCAGCTAATTCTTAGGTACCAAGTAAACAAATAAAAATGTGTTTCGGTAATTCAACCATATTAACGAGATGTATATCATCAGATGTTAAATAAATATAAGGGGTCTGCTTACCCATTGTGCATCAAATGTTGATCGAAATCAATCCCACTCCCTTCACTGCTATATTTTCATTTCGGACCGAAACAGGATACGGACGAAAAATACTGTAACACAGACCGGAAGTTTGTGCTCTTCTTCTCCTCCTAAATTATTACTTTTTTGTTTTGTTTTTTAATCTGTCTTTATTGACAAGTTTAAAACATACAGAAATGTTTATACAAACTCTTATAGAGGATGAACATACAACAGCAAAATACACAGGAACACTCTCCTACAATGTCTACTAAAGCGGTTGTCACACTTAATCGTTGCTCATTATCGCCGCCACCTGGCAAGAAGAAGAATCGTAGAATCTGATTTATTGGCCGGATATTTGTAAAAAATAAAATAATTTGACTACATTTGGCTTTATATTTGTCTACATGCACATAAGTGACTACCGATAATAAAGACCACAAAGGGTAACAAAGGTCTACCAGTAATAATTAAACAACTGTATTCAGTCAACAATCTATTTAATGTAAACATATTTAAAAATATAAAACAACACGTGCAGTCGTAAATAATATAGGTTTGCAATAAGCTGAAACTAACATAAATATAAAGGTAACAGTAGACACAGGAACAGCTTATCCACAAGACCATCAGACGTTTAAACAAATAAAACTCACAACATCAAGCCAACCTTCTGTTCAATACTCACATGTGAATTTAGAGACCCTATCTCTGCCTCTGCATACTTCTGGATTTATTTATACATTGTTTTTATATGAACATTTTTTCTTTAGATTTATATTGTTTTATTTTTATTTCTTCCTCTCTTACTATGAAATTATTTTATTCCATTTTAATACATTTTATCCCTTAATTACTTACATATTATATGCTAACCTTTAAATTGGAGCTACCTTGCTAAATACTTTTCACGTTTGCACCACATTCAGAGGGAGAATTAAACATCTTCAATCTTGCTTCATGAATCTGTTCTTCTTAAATGTTGTGGTCTTTAATGTCTCTTATAGTAACTAATGGCTATTAGATATGTTTCTTTTTACAGGTATACTCTTTATGTTGCTGTCATTACTTCAGTTGCAAATCAATCTGCAGCTGAAAAGAGTATTTATTAGTCAAATTCTGATGATTATATCATTTTGACACTATGAGATAACTGTAGGTCTAAGGTTTAAGGGTCCCACTTTGGATTTCAACATATAGAGGATAACAGCTGCTGTGAACACAGTAGGCTAAATAGCCTACGTCTGTTTGGGGAGAAAATTTGCCAAATTGGCATCATCTTGTGTAGCCTAATGTTAACTTTCACCTTAAATTAAAGAAAAGGAATAAATAGCATTTACAGGTCTATACCATCAATACTTCTGGTTGTAGTTTAATTCATAATCTGCATTTTCAGACTATGTTTAGGACATGTTCACATGTTCTCACATTAGAGAGCTTCACACCAGCTGTGTCCAGCACTACCAGCAGTGGTCAGAAACACACACACACACACACACACACACGCACACACACACACGCACGCGCACACACACACACACACACACACACACACACACACACACACACAGGCTACGTTTTGATACATGAGCCTCGAACAGTGCACGGGCTCTACTTTGAAACACCTCAGTCTTTCGTCATTTATCTCACAGGGGCATTACATTATTGATGCAAAAAAAATCTATCACCAGTTACCATGGCAACTGTATGAAACGTCACACGAAGCTATGAGCACGTTCGTCCGGAGGGCGTGGTTTCGGAGGGGGGAGATTGTTGGCAGGTAGAGAGACCCCGAGAGAGAGAGAGAGAGAGAGAGAGAGAGAGAGGAAGAAAAGGAGCTGGTGCAGGGTCTTGTTCACACCTGGGTTTAATGCAGTAGGTTTCAGAGCTGTCATTAACGGAGATATAAAAGAAGATAAGTTTTATTTTGTTCCTTAAAGAGACACATCAACAGAGGAGGAGTCGCCGTCCGTCTGTCTGACTGAGAAGCTTTGATTTTCTTCTCCAGCTGCGTCCTGGAAAAAGAAAAACATCGGACTGTTTTTCTCCTGCTGCTCGTACGAAGGATTTCCAAAAAAAAAAAAAAAAAAAAAAGGCCCAACAATCTGGAAGAAAAATGCACGTCCACATTTATGAGTCTTACGACCTGGAGTGATGATTGATGTTACGGTGGCGTTTCGTTTGTGTGTGTGTGTGTGTGTGCAGCTTCCAAAAAAACCTTGAGAGGAAAACGCTGACATGTTGTGCTTATAGAAACATCAGGAAAACAAACGTTTGGATTGATATGACCGAGAGAGAGAGAGAGAGAGAGAGAGAGAGTGCATGTTGTTTTCATGTCGACACCGTTTTAACACAATGGCCCAAGTTTTGAAGGTAAACGCAGGAAAAGATGAAGTGAAAGAAGCATGCACGAATATTATTTAACGTTTGCGTTTATGCAAATTCAGCAAACCTGCGTGAACACAAAGGATGACCTCACACCTTTAAACCAATAACTCTGCATGGAGTTATTTAAATGCTAACAGCAGGAGAAGTGTGATGCACTTCTGCATGTGTTCAACAAGTATTCAGTTATGTTGTGATTGTTTAAAACGTGCAGATGTTGTGTTTGATCTCCGGATTAATTCAAGGCTAGTTTAGACTAACAGTGCATCATTTTCAAATCACTATTGCTCAAACTTTACACAGTAATAGGCCTAAAGATATCCATCTCTACTTATAGTATCATGATGTGTCATTTAAATGATTTAAAAGTGAAAGTCTTGAGCTGAAACGCGCAATTTAGCACAAATATTTAATCAAACTGTGGAATTATTGAATTTGTAGCTTTAAAAATATGATCCCATCCAGAGGATTTGACCTTAACGTTTAAAAAAAAAAAGCAGACAAGTGGTTCAATTATTGATGAAAGCTGAATGAATGTGACCCAGATGTAATATCTGATCACCGTGATGTGTTGTTGCTGTAGGTTGTATATTCAAAGTTAGATAAGGTTGACTAGTGTACAGTCTTCAAATCACAGCTGCTTTAGTTTTTCTCAAACTTAACACATGCATCTCTACTTTTTAGATTTCACATTATGGCCAAAAGCGTGACATGAATGTTGTTTTAAAATAGGTATGACTCAAAAATTTGAAATTCTTTAAAGTAGGCGGCATAAAAATATGTTTATATGTTTCCATCGAGAATATTTAACCTAAACCTGCAAAAACATAGAAGAGTTGAAGTAAACAAATAAGCCTCAGTAAACTGCACTTGAACGTATGTGTCACAAACGTATATCTCATCAGTTTGATTATAAATAAATGCTCTTTGTATCTCCGCTTTGATTCCGATATCTAAGGTTAGATTTGGCTAAGAAGTGTAGAGGCTGTGTTCAATTTTCACTCCACAAATTTAATATTTACAGAAGTGCACCATTATTTAAAAACTTAGAAGACTGTGAAAGACACGATCCATGTAATCGAAAATCATTTGCAAAAGGAATAACTCCAGGCAGAAAATATAATTTGGTAAATCACAAGTTGGAGGTTTAAAAATCATGAAACGTTGTTCCTCTTCTCTGAACAGATTCAAAATGTTTCTCTGGTATGTTGTGCTTTAAAAACAGATTTCACTAGAAGTTGTGAAAAGTCGACTGTTAGGTCCACATGTAAAGAATATTGTAAAGTTGTGAGCTTGGGTTTATGTGACACAGATTATTATTTATATCTGCTGTCGTGCATATTGGATGAACGGCTCCTCGGGCTTCAGTCGGTGACCTCTTAATCCTCCGAGCTGGACGTCAATAGAAAAGGTCACTGGGATGTTTGTTGTGCGGAGAATGCGAAGACAGTAGCAGTGTTCAGCTCACGTTCACGTCTTTTTTTTCTATCATAAATATTTCTGTTTGATTCGACCGTTATTAGAAAGATTGGCGGGCTGTGGTGATGTCACAGCAGCCAGATTCAGCCTCCGTGGACGTTTCTCTCTTCCTCTGTTGAGGGTAATGAAGCAGAAAAATACAAATGGACGTTGAGGAGTTGAAGCAGCACACACTGATCTGAATGGATGCGTGTGAGGCAGGTGTCTTGTGTTGTTTCTGTGCACACTCATCGATGGATCCGTCTGTTAGCACGGCCCTGTGGGGCAGCGGGGGCGCCAACTACACGGCTGACACCTCAGCTCCGAGCTTCACCCACCAGCTGAGCACCGCCTCACCTGTTGTACCCAGGTGAGTCGCTCTAAACTCCGTCCTCGTCTCTCGTCTTTCCTGTTTGTGGTTTCTTTGTCTCAGGCAAACGATGTGAAACCCCGCACAGGTTACACAGCAAGAAAAATAACATTGACGTCGCTTTCACACTTTCACACAAAACTTTCAGAAAATTTCAGGGTGAGCTGCATGTGTGAACGCAAACAGCCAAACTTTCATTGTTTTTCCTGCCAACCCCCCGAGTATATTTTACACAGGAAATCAGGTAAAGGTGATGTGAGGACACAGCAGGAAAATTCACTGCAAGGGAGCAAGAGGGGTCCGTGATGTTTCTATCCTGTGACTGGAGCACGATCATAGACTGTATGCACTTAACTAATGAAAGTGTTCTTCTCTGCTCATTTGTTGATATTCTGAATCTGTCAGACTGATCATAGATTTGATGTCCCTCTTTTCTTTCATTTGGTTCTCTAGGGTTGTTTCCATAATGACTGGTCTGGTGACCACCGGCTCCGAGTCCACAGTGGGAACCACAGGAAACCTTTCCACCTTCAGGGATCAGATCGAGAACGAGCTCAGCCGACTCCACCAGGCGTCCACTCCTTCAGTGCTGAGCGCCTCCGAGAGTAACTCGGTCCTGCGGGGCATCACGGTGGCAGCTCAGGCCCTCGTCCTCCTCTCCATCTTCCTCCTCTCCAGCCTGGGGAACTCGGCCGTCGTCATCGTCATCATCAAACACCGACAGCTCCGAACCGTGACCAACGCTTTCATCATGTCGCTGTCGCTGTCCGACTTCCTCACGGCCGTCCTGTGCCTGCCGTTCTCCTTCGTCATGCTCTTCAGCAAGGACGGCAGCTGGATGTTCGGCGACGGTTTCTGCGTGGCGAACGGCTTCTTCAACACCTGCTTCGGCATCATCTCCACGCTGACGATGACCCTGATCTCCTTCGACAGGTACTACGCCATCGTCAGGCAGCCGCAGGCCAAAATAGGACGGCAGAAAGCGACGCAGCTGTTGGTAGCCGTGTGGTTGACCGCAGTGGTTTTCTCGATGCCTTGGTATCTTTTGGTTCGAACGCCGACGGAGATCCACAAACAAGGTTTCTACCACTGCATGTACGTGTTCCACTCAGGGACGTCCCGCATGGGGACGGCGTACAGCATCTGCCTTATCGTCGTGTGCTACCTGCTGCCCTTCTCCCTCATGTGTTTCTGTCATTACAACATCTGTAAGACAGTTCGGCTAACGGAGATCCGAGTCAGACCCGTGACCACATACGCATACTTGCTGCGCTTCTATAGCGAGATGCGGACAGCCACCACCGTCCTGATCATGATCGTTTTCATTATTTTTTGTTGGGGGCCGTATTGTTTGATGGGCTTGATAACGGCGATGGGGAACTTCACGTTTAACCCTGCGATGGACACGGTGGCTATCTGGCTCGCCTGGGCTAACGGAGCGATCAACCCTCTGATCTACGCCCTGAGGAACCCCAACATATCCATGCTGCTGGGGCGCAGCAGAGAGGAGGGGTATCGCACCAGAAACATCGCCGCCTACCTCTCCAGCCAAACCCAGAACCGCGAGATCCGGCACAACCAAGCCGAGAGAATCAGGGACCGCTACGTGAGCCGCGTCGGGGTGAACAACAACAGCCGGCTGTCGAGTTCAAGTCCGGGAAAAGGAGGAGAGGTGGCCATGTGGGCGTGTAAAAACCCGGCAGTGTTCTTCTGCAGGGACGCCCAGCCGGACACGGCGACGGTACCCAACTCTGTCTGCACGCCCAAGATGAAAACAGCCGACACGAGCCTGTGACTGCTCTTAACCATCAGATGAGGCGTTTCACCCTGTCTGTGTGTTGTGGATCTATAGGGACACCTGTTTGTGACATTTCTTTGGAAAAAAAATATTTATGTCAGAAAACTGTTTATTATGTTTATATTCTCCTCATCCGAGTAGTTGTGTTTTTGCAGAATTGTTTACACTGTGTGGGAACTTTTATAAGAAGTTAAACAAGAGATAATGAAGGTTAGAATAATTCTTTTAATGTCTTTTTGAGGATCAGGTGGACAAAATGAATCTGAAGGACGGCTGCAATCCCCTCCATGTTTTATGAGTAGGAGAGGAGATGCAACACTTTTAGAAAAAGCCTGATAAATGTGCTACAAAGGTCTCAATGTCAGTATTTTTTCAAATGTAAAAGCAGCATGTTGACCTGGAGAACATACAACATTCTTTACCTCTCATGCTTCAGTGTACTTTAACGTGTCATCTTCTGTTCGGACTCGTCGATTATTTGAATGTCTGAAGAAGGCAGTGTTCAGGATGGAGTGGAGCTCACCTCAGCCTTCCCTTCAAAATCACACATTGACTCATCCTGACTTCACACAGATTTTTTTTTTGATCAGGTAGCAGGGAGGAGAAAGTCCAACTAAAGTAAGCCAGGTTGAATGGATTCCAACGTTTGCATTCACACATGCAGCCCTCCTGGACAATTTTGAGGAGTGCAGTGTTTTTGTTAAAGCGGCTTTGAGCTGACTTTGGGGTTATGTTGTGCTTTACATTCTGTCTCCATTGGGTCTTGCTGTAATGGCTGCATCATTATTAGCCCCATTTCCTCCAAGTGGTCCGGTTTGTTTCAGTACGGTTTGTTTCAGTTTACGGTTTGGTACGGTAAACCTCATCTTGATCGCGCTTCCACAGCCAACCGTATACCCTCACACATCACTAAATAACAGCGGCGCAACAAAGTGTAGACAACTAATAAATCCAACAAAGAAGAAGAATAATAAGAACTAAAATCAATGATTCCTAGAAAGGTCATGATGCATTTTGTGTTTGTCCTTTATTACCGCTGTTGCACGGGAAGTGAAGACAATTTTGATCAATCTATGGACTGCAATGTGTCTAGCGCCACCTTGCATTACGCTTTGCACCCCAATAGAAAGGAACCAAAAAAAGTAGAAAGGTATGGATCAGTAACTGTCGTACCATTCCCAACTTTTGACAGTGGAAACGCCAATAAATGTGTACCGTACCGAACAGAGCTGAACCGGACCGCTTTGTGGAAACGGGGCTGTAGTCCATTACAGAGAGTTCATTGGTCTGTCTCCTTTTGCAAACCGCACCTCGTCGTTGTGTTTATGCTCAGCCTCTCACGTCAACAAACCTCTGACACTGTGCGGCCTCTTCAGTAGCTTCACGTTCTGCACCACCTGAGCTGCAGGAAAGAGGATCCAGGTGCCAATCGGGAGGACTTACTGTCATCTCATTGGTCTGCCTGCACTTGTAAATGTCATCCCAACTATTTTGTCGACAATAAAGAAGTTGCATTTGTATTTTTAAATTGCATTTGCAGATTCTTCTTTTTTCACCTAAAATGTTCATGTCTACATCTCTTCATCACTGAGAAGAAGCTAACTCTTTGTTTGCACATTTTGTTTCTAATCTAAACTTTCTATAAAATATGTTGTGCAATTGTTGTTGAATATGCTACACACACATACAGTATAATGTCATGACATGTTGTTGTTGAGTTTTACATTTTGTTAATTTCAGTGTTTAGATTTTATTTCCAACAACTGACAAGTAGGCTACATTAAAACATTCAAAATCGACAATTAATAACACTAATACTGAGCATTAGCCTACTGTTTTTGCCTTTTTGCATTGTAGGTATGCTGCATGCATTTTAGGTTAAAGGTTAGAAACTAAGGTTGGGGCCAGCGCCCCATGTGCAGAGGAGTTGGTTTCTCAAGGAGGGCAGCCCGGGTTTCTGACTCTATCCACTGTCCTATCACTAAAATAATACAGAAATAAAAGAGGTTCTACATTTTAAAGACCAACATCATTATATATTTATTATTATTATACATTTTAAATATATTTCATGCAATATGACTTCTGACTGTACAGTAGGTCAGGTTGATGCATGTGTTTTTTTTTATCAATGGCTGTCATGCAGATTGTGTCCAGCAGGGGGAGCTGCAGGACACTAAACTTCCAGCCTTGTCTTGCAGAGGCAGAACAGATTTTAATCCTCACACTGATGTTTGATTGTTGAACTCGTGCTGAAGCAGCTGCAGGTGGCGCTGGTGTTTTTGTTGCTACATTTCCAGCTCATTAACCCTGAAAGGAGCCTCGACCTGCACAGGTGAGCGTGTCAGGAAAAACAAACTGTTAATGTGACAGCTTCACTCATAATGAGTTTCTCCTGACATCGACCTGCCGTTTGACTCTGGAGACAAAAGAACAAACAGTGTGTGTGTGTGTGTGTGTGTGTGTGTGTGTGTGTGTGTGTGTGTGTGTGCGCGCGCGTGCGTGTGCGTGTGTGTGCAGTCTATGGTGTGTGCTGGAATGTCACCTGGCTTCATATCACACTCACGCACGGTACAGACAGACTGAGGTATTCACGGCACTCTCATGACGTTCGATGATGCAAGATAAAACAAGATGTAAATTATACGAATTAGTAGACAGACATTATGTTTCCTTTAGAGCTAGACCTTTTAATAACAACACATCACAATGCATGCTTTATGTCCGCCCATGTTACTCACACACACACACACACACCTCGTCTGTGTCTTCTCTGAATATAATAATCATGTTGTAATACAGGAAGTGGTGGAGGATGAGTCCAGAAGCTCCAGTCTGAGTGTAGATCTGAAATATTCTGATGCAGAAATGAGATTATTTTCAATCAGAGGGAGAGAATGATGGTGCCTTCATCAGACATTTTTTATTCTCCCCTTTCACGTAATGTCGCTTTTGTTTTGCAATTTTGCAGCAAAGTTTTGTACACTTTTGGCAGCTTGTGACTCAGTGGTAGAGTCGGTCATCTCTCAACTGAAGGTCGGGGGTTCGATCCCCAGCTCCTGCTGCCACATGTCCGATGTGTTCCTGAACCCCAAATTCCTCCCGCTGCTGCTGCATCAGCGGAGTATGAATGTGTATGCACATTTACTGTGACGACTGCTGCATTGTTTGACCTCTTAGTATTTGTGATTTCCATCAGTCACAGTCGCTCATCGGCTGTTTGTATTTTCTCCACAGTTGAGACATTGTGCGTCATCAGTAACTCCTTTCTTCTGCAAACACCGGAGACTCGAGGATGTTAGTCATTAGTGAAGAGGGGGAAAGTTTAATGGAATGGATATCAACATGTAGGAGGAAACAAAATGATCGGGGTGGAAAACATCCTCGCTGTTTCCTCCTGCAGGAGTGTGTGTGGTGCAGCTGAGGATGATCAGGCAGGTTGAGCTTCGTTTTTTTCTTTTGAAAGGGAAGGTTGGGTGAGTAGAAATATTGTGATTTTTACCAACAGAAGACGGCGGTCCAGACGTAAAGGTGCCGCAGGAGACGGGTTCACAGGTGGGTTTATAAGGATGAGACAGCAGGAGAAATCTGATCAACTGAAAGAGTTCATTTTCAAAAAGGGGAGCCTGATTAAACATCAGAACATAAATTGCACCGCTATTACCACCACTGTCAGACCTCTCTCTGTCTCTCTCTCTCTCACACACACACACACACACACACACACACACACACACACACACACACACACACACACACACACACACACACACACACAGAGCAGTGGGTGAGGTCTGGGTGTGACTGCCTCCAACAGGAATGCAGTTGTGTGTGTTCTGCTCTCTGAACACGCTCACCCAGGCTCATCGTCAGTTTCTCCGCCTCACACACACACACACACACACACACATTCACCGAACACACACACACACGCTGATCAGATCTATTGATCAGTTCACAAAACAAAACAGAAGAAGAAGAACGCACAGGCAGCACCAGGAGAGGGGTAGAGAGAGGATTTGAATGAGAGTGGATTTTTTTATTTTTCTCCAAGTTCCTGTCAAACTCTGAGGGAACGTTTTTTCTCTCGTGGATTATGAATGCAGACTCCAAACATCTTTAAAATCTTCTACAGAGTGATTCAAGTTTCAGACTTTGTTGCTATTTTTTCCTGCTCGGGAATTTAAATCTTTGTTTTTGGAGTCCAGACTCTTTTTTTTTTCTTCTGACTTTTACCCGCCTCTCATATTTTCTCTTTTTTCTTCTGGATTTTATGAAAAAGATGTTTAAAAAAAAACACGTCTTCAGAAGAGACTCAGCGTAGCAACCAGCTGTTGTGATGTTGGATTTGGAGCAACAGTAAGCACAGAGTAAAAGATCTCTGACACCTGCCTGCTGCTACACTCACTGCTGGAGCTCAACATGGCCTCTCAGTGCATCACATAGAAGAGGAGTGCAAAGGTAAGAAACACAACAAACACACACACTTTATGTAGAACAGCAGCACAACCCTCTCCTTTATAACAAATTAGCTAAAACACTATTGACAACCCAAATGAGGTTATGTTTACCTCCCTGTGTCCTTCCTCTCCTCTGCACTTACACTACTACATTTTCTCTCTCTTGTCCGGCTGGTTTCACATTTTTTGAATCATGTTTTTGTGTTTTTTTGCCACTGCTTGAAAGAAACTGCAACTGGTGGGATTAGTAAAGTTTAATCTGACCGATATGTTCCTGCTGGTACTGTAGAGACAAAGAAAACAGAACTGTTGGGAAAAAAAGGGAATCATGGAAAGTTTAGAAGTAAAGATGTCGGAAAAACAAAACACAAAGATTGTAAAATAGTTCCACAAAGACTTGTATTCTGCTGAAATGAAATCCAGAGTTGTCTGTCGTAAAACATGAGATTTGAATCCAAGTGACCGAGGGTTGGATCCTGCTGTGAGCCACCAAAAAGTTTACTGCTCTTTAGTTGACCCCAGACAGATTAGTTACTGAACAAATAAAGAGAAGGTTTTTTTGTTTTTATGCAGAACATTTGATCATAACTGTTGTTTCAACCCAAACTCTAATCTTTTTGCTAAACCTAATCGGTTCATTTTGGAGCTTAAACATGACGATATTAGAAACGTTGCACAAGTAAAAAAAAAAAAAGCATGAGTAGCAAAAGTCCAAATCTGACTTCAGACAGTTTTGTTTTGGCAGATTTGATCTAATTGGGCCAAATGATGTGAGTTTAAATATGATCTCTTCTGTCTCACCACCCTGGATGTGATAGAAACATGCACATGATATAGAAAGTAGAGGCGGCAGTAGCTCCGTCAGTAGGGACTTGGGGTGGGAAGCAGATGGTCACCTATCAAGTCCCAGTGAGGATGAAAGTCTGGATGTTGTAGCTGGAGAGATGCCAGCTCACTTAGCACTGCCGAGATGCCCTTGAGCAAGGCACTGCACCTCCAACAGCTCTGGAGTGCTCCCTGTGTAGCAGCCCCACTCTGACATCTCTCCATTAACGCTTGTCCACAGTTCCTGTTTGTGCATGTGTGTGTACATCAGGCCTATGTGTGTGAGGAGCATGTCTCTCTATAACAGAGTGTAAACCAGAATTTACCCTCTTGGAGTAATAAAATATGTAAAATCAAATAAAAGATTCCTTCTTAAGTTGCATTACGAGGAAAACGTGGAAGGAGACGTTTAGAGCCAGCAGTGTTGTCTTTTCAAAAGCTGACGACGTGAAACTGTCCCATTTAAAATATGAATACAGATGAACAACTATGTTAAAGAAAAGAAACTCACAGAATATGTCTGATGTACGTAGCCATTGTGATGTCACATGTTGATTTCTTAGTGTGTATGACTGAGTCTGAGTTTGACATTTGACCTCCACCAGAGGTGTTCATATTAGGAGGAGAGGAGCAAGGGGCTTGTAAACGCCGACCTTTAGATAATCCATTAGCTATGCGCCCGATTGAGAACAATGCTTATAAATCATAAAATTAAGAGTGATGAGTTGTAAAAAAAAAAATTCAATTCCCCCGTTCACTGTGTGCCGATCGAGATATGAGCTAGTCAGAACTGTAGCGTTCTTTTATACCAGGCTGTAAACATGTTCATTTCTGCTGTAAAGACTTTTTTGACAGGGTGTGTATGTGACTTCCTGTGCTTCTGGAGCCAGCCTCTAGTGGACACTCGATGAACTGCAGGTTTTTAAACTTCCGCATTAGGTTAATTTTATTAACCTAAATTAAATAAGGATACAGATAGAGATAAAATACCTTCCTGAACCTGAAGAATCTGTACCAGAATTTATTTGGACTCAGTCTCCGGTGACCAGCTTTCTAAAGGAGCAATATGTAACTCTGACCCCTAGTGTTTAAAATGGGTACTGCAGTCCAAATTCAAAACATTGTAGAGAGCTGTCTCCGCCCCCCACCCTCCCCCTCTCTAGAGTCGATGCTCACGCAGGTTGCCATGTGGTGGACACTGAAGCTTCAGTGTTTATCCAGCTCTGCATCGGTCTGTAAACCT